TATTTGAATTCTAAAGCAGTGATCCCCAACCCCCTGGCCGGTACCAGTCCATAGATCAATTGGTAACGTGCCGCAGAAGAAATCATTAATTATTTCCATCTTATTTACTATTTTTGAAAAATCTATTGGGTGACTTGAGCACCTAAATTTATCCCACAAGCTGGGGAAATGAGTAAGAAACAGATCTTTAAATGTTTCTATGCGATGGGGAAAAGGCCCAGAGAAGGACAAACAAACTGCCAAGGTATGGATCCCCCACTCAATTGTCAACAAATCAGGTGAATCCAGCATGTCTGTGCAAGAAGATGATTAACTGATGGAGATTGCAAATTACGGCTGCCTTTTACATATCGCGTCTTTTCACGGCTTGTGCATGGATATTGGGAGCAATGGGTGCAAGCGGCAAGTCACGTGACAAGAACTGAATAATCTGCTTCATAATTTGCATGGAATATACACATTTCGGTAGACAAACTATCTTTGACAAACACTACACTGTAATTTTCTCCATGGATAAAAATTGTATCAGAGCTGCAGCAATGTTTTGTTAGCTTGTTATTCTCTGAAAAAACGGTTGATCAGTTGATGGTTGGCTAGCAATCATACCTGCCAACATTTGTATATGAAAATCTGGGAGACCGAAGGGGGATAGGGGGTGTTCAGGTAGACAGACCAAAATGGAAGATGGGTCTGAAATAGAATCAGGAAAAACTCCCGGGAAAAACAGGAGTGTTGGCATGTATGCTAGCAATCTGCATACACGACACCATTGTAAAATTGTCAAGCGTTTACCGTTCTGTGGTGATAAAAAGGTTGGGTGCCACTGCAATACTTTAATTAATAGTTTACCCAAAATTAAATGTCACCATTTACTCACCTTTCACTTTTGTTTCTTTCCACTGTTGAAAATACAAAAAATACTGGTTACTGGGACATACCGACTTCCATAGTATTTTTTTATTTCTCCTAAGTTGATGGGTCACAGGAACCCATCAATTCTTCAAAATATCTACTTTTGTGTTCAACAGAAGAAAAAAAAACTTAATAGTTTACACCCACATGAGGGAGAGTAAATGATGAAGTAATTTGATGTAAGGTGAACTACCCCTTTAATATTAAAGGGAAAATGGTCTGTTATGCCCAAAAGTGGGTGCATTCGAGCACTATAAGCAATAAAAAACAAGAACTGGATCTTTTGCTGAAATGAAATGACAATCACTCTAAGTTCATAACCTTAACAAAAGTTCTTAAATAAAAAATAATGTCCTTAAATTAGGAAAAAAGACAGAGTGCATCAAAAACCTGAGAAAATAAGCTTCAACCAAAAGTTAAAATTTTTGTTGTACCACATTAATGAAAAAAGCAAACTGCCAATAAGAATCGAGCTCCTCACGGTCACTAAATCTTTACATATTGTTGATCAAAATCAGATATTAGCGCATATCACATAACATAAATTGAATCCTGTTTTTTGTTAAATTATAAAACAATGCAACAACAAAAATTTCAATGAGAGTCAATAAGCACATTGGTCTTTTGTCTTTCCATTCTGATGGGTGACTGAAGATGAATCCTACCACATAAACAACTGCTCTTGTATCAATGAGATGAGAGTTTACAAGAAGAACATGCAACATCTTAACAGTTTTAATCCAATCTATAGTGTGAAAATGAGCAAAAACAGAACTTCTGATTCTGTAATCTACACAAGTCAGAGGTTACCTAGAAGCTCTCGATTTACAGTTCTTAATATGCTGTAACCAAACACAACCTGAAAGGTCTTTGCAGCAGACGTACGTGGGGGATAAAAGGGATTATCGGACCCACCCGACACAGCAAAGGCTACGGATCAATTGCTAGATCTAATTGACTGGGAAGAGACTGCCTGCCTGCAACGAAAAAGTAAATCTTACAAATAAAACTGCAGCCAGTTTTATTTTCCTGCTTAAATCCTGCAGGGGGAAAGGCAGGATATTATGCTGAATAGATTAAGCAAACAACCCCTCTTTACTCTGGTGCTAAGAGCTTTTCAAGATGTTTGCGCTACAGATTTTGTGCGTTGCAACATATCACAGGGCTCTTAAAAACAGCTTGAGAAATTTTCAATTCACTTCAGGAAAAACATGTTCATTATAGCATGACAGCGAAGCCAGGCAAAGGAAGAATCCCACACTCAAAGTTTAGGAATAACAGGGCAGAAACATATAATAGAAAGGAAGAGCAATCAAACAGGATTTATCTTGGAGTTTAGAAAAGGAATTGAAGAGAGCTGGATGGAGTTCAAAGTGCATTGGTGAAAACATAAACATGGATTTGTTCTGCTCTCTCCTAAAAAACAAAGAAATACCTCATTTTCTCTCTGCGCCAGGGAGAAACTTCTGCTGTGCCTTCGTAGTAATGTATAAAAAAGAATGGGTTGACCATATTTTATTTGGTTGGTGGATCTCACAGGATGTGTCATAGTCACACAGTCTGTGATGAACAGATTGTAAACATGACTTTGTGACAATTATGTTGGAAAGGAAATAGAAAATGTAAGATAAGTAAGATCATTTAGTAAAATCAGCTATGTGCACTAAAAACTATTTAACAATTAATTATTTTTCTTTAGTAATTTTTGCTAAATCCTACTAAAAAAGTTGGGTGGTGTCAACATGGGAAGTCTATGGGATTGACTCCCTTTTCGAGACCGCCTCTAGTGGACAGTCTATGAACTGCAGTTTTAGTCATATCCTTTATTGGCTTCACAGGAGGATACTAGGCAGCTGCTGCTTTGTGGTCACCCACTTTAAAACAATACCCGAAATGAAATAATTTATGTGAGCATCATGATACCCATTATTACTGTGTGAAAATCAGGCTGATATTGTGTAATCTGATCACAGGTCATGTCCAAACGAAAGCTGTTAGGTTCAAAACCACACTTTTTAACTGTTTGTCCACACAAAAACAGAGCATCAGGTGAATGAAACCAAAAAATTCTAAAAACTACAGCCAGGGTAAAGATTTTCGAAAACTCCAGGTACTGTGTGGTTGTGTGGACACTAGAATCTTAAGATGTTTCTCAATTCCAAGATAGCAGAAAACAGACTTGCGTTCTTGTGAAGGCCAGTCTTGCCAGGTTATCACGGAAGAACAAACTAGGGAAAGCACGAAAACACAGAACATGGCCTGTGAGATATGAAATGCTGCGTTCTTCCTGATGGACATGTGAACCACGCATTTTTAATGGAAAATTCTTTAAACATTACAGCATTCAAACAACGATTGATTGTTTTTTCCCTTTTCAATATATGTAAAACATGCACAAAAGCCTTAAAAATATACTTTGCACAACACAAATGAAACAGATTTTAATACGAAGTTTATGCCTTTATTAAGATTCTCATGTTAATATTTAATTTAACCGTCTCACTTCGGGAAACTCCAAAGACAAATAAGTTATATCTCTGAACTTTAATAATAGATACATAATAAATGCTGTGTTTCCCACCTCCTGTATTCAGTCCCAATGACTTCTAAAGAGAGTTTGGCCCTCTGTTCTTGCAATCTTCAGTGTTGGAACTGAACTTGGCGATTGATGAAGACGTTACACGATAACACAAGGACGCAAGATCACTAAAAAATGCATATTGAGAAACAGCCTTAGCTGTTGCCTCATGACATCAGCTTAAATACTGTTTACTCCTTTCCTCTTGGTCAACACATCTGAGTTCAAATAAAACGCAGAAGATGCAAATGAGGCAAAATTCCACATTCACAGCAACTGCATTGTGTTTTTTGTGTTGTTTGCACTGCGGGACAGTATTCTGTTCTCTGTTAAGCTATACAATATTATATTTGAGCTTAAACAACAGATCAGTATGTACTGAAACCAAATCTGGAGCTTGTCTTACAAAATAACTTATGATAGCGGTCCAAAAACTAGTACACACGCATTTATATGCAATTAAATACAATTTTTTTAAAAAAGAGAAGAAGATCAAGAAGCAAAAAAAATGTTTAGTTGAAATTTTATAGGTTGTATTTTTTTGGCAATATTTAGCTTGAATTCATTGTATTCTCTTTCAATTTTTAAATATGTTTTGTGACTAAAATATTATTTTAACAAATATATCTGTTTAATAATTCTGTTTTGTTTAAAAGCACCAAGATACATTGCCTATATTCACTGTGTATTTTGTGTTGTTTGCACTGCGGGACAGTAATCTGTTTTCACGTTTGCATTGACTTATATGCAATTTACTCACAAAAATACTTAATAGCCCATTTGGTGTGAATCCAGAATAAAAGCATCATTATCTCATCCTGTTGTTTCGCGTGCCCTTAACATGCATCACAGATCATAGTGCATTTTTGCGTTTTCATGTGGGCGGTGATTTTTTTTTTTTTAATCAAAAGCAGGGAAAACTCTTTTTATATAAATCTCTCAATATAAAAAAAAAATTACTCATGTTTTGCTTCTTACACTTTACATACCTGAAACTTGCCTAAAGCACTTATTCATTGTTGCTCTTATAGTTGTGTAAATTGCTTCCTTGTCCTCATTTGTAAGTCGCTTTGGATAAAAGCGTCTGCAAAATGATTAAATGACTAAATGTAAATTAATTTCTTTTTATTGGGTTTATAAAAATATCCAAGTACATGTGGACATGGCCTAAGAAAATCTTTAGGGGAGGGCTCTGAACATGTCCCAATTTTTAATTAAACCTCTTGACAATGTTGTCTGATTGTTGTCTGAAAACTATTCATTTAAAAAATGTACCATTACATAATTAAGGAGCATTTCTATTTTTGGTACTCTCTCTCTCAATTTAAATATTTTGGAGCTTGGAGGCAAACCAAAAGGTATAATTATTCAAACCAAGTAAATGGCATAAGTACAAAAACATAGTTCTTATTATGTAACACTTAAGTTAAAAAACTATTTCATATATATATGAAAAACTTAAAATAATCCATGAAAAAAAATACTGGCTTAGAGTTTTCTATGATTGCAGTATACCATCTATCCCTACCTGCTGATCATCACCTGAGAGCAGTGGACCAAAGATGAAGTCCTGACAAGCTGTAAAAATGTCTCAGGCTGTTTACGTGATGCCAAGCAGAGGTTCAAATCAGCCATCAGGTCCAGCCATCTGTCCTCTCCAAGTGAAGACCAGACTGGACGTCAAAACATCATGCAAAGAGCCAGAAGCTTCTCAAAGACAAAATAAAGCAGCGGTGCAGAACCAGGACTATTTCTGCGTTATTGTGTTCTGCATTCGTACACTGAATCCTGAGTAATGAGCAGTCAAGCTGTCCGCTGTGAGATTGGTGGACGGATAATTATGTGACAGTGCATCTATCCCTCTGTTGTACAGAGAGGAATTGACTTGAAATACATCTGGGAAGTGTGACATGATAAACAACATCTTTTTAAACAAGATTTTGTAATTATATCTTGAAGGCTTTATGACCTCGTGTGATTTGAAAGCTACGTGTCACTTTAAAAAATTAATTTGTCAAACTTCAGGACCTTTTAGAACTAACTCATGAAGGAAAAGGGATTATAATTAAGATAAAAAATGACAACACCATCTTTTTTATAGATTTTTAAATTACTCAGAAAAGTAGACCTCTACCGCTACATTTTTTGTCATAACCTTATTAAAATCGCAAATGAAACCCACTAAACATGCTTTCTCCGCATAGAAATGTTGCAAAATCACATTTATTTGTTTTACATTTGTTCTACATTTCACATGTAAAGCTCATGTGGTGCGTGTGTGTGTTTTTTTTAATAGGTTCAAAAAGATTAAATACAATATAATATAATATAATATAATATAATATAATATAATATAATATAATATAATATAATATAATATAATATAATATAATATAATATAATATAATATAAGGTCTGGAGCGCACATTTGATGCATAACAAGTTAAAATGCACACCTATAAATTATCTATAAATCTATAACTGTTTTACTAAAAGGAAATAGGCATAAACTACTTTTTGTTGTAAGTATATTACAAGTATGTATATTATTAATTATTCATTAAAAAAAAAAAAAATTTAATTTTATTTATCTAATAATTCCAGTCAGCTTTAAGTGAACATGCAATGATGTCAAAAACACAGAACTTTCAGTTTTATGACAAAACACATTTAAGACCATTTAAATATTTTCAAATGCAATGGCTGCACATGCAAAAAAGAGGACATCACTCTTGCAAGTCGAGCCAAAAGACAAACAAACCCCTGCGATCTGTTCATGAGATCGGCCAGATTGGTGAGTACCGATCAGGTCATTAAATGTGATTATCGGCCGATACCAACCTTCAGCTGATCGATCTGAGCATCCCTATTAGTCAGTACTGAAATCTAGCACACCCAAATTTATGTTGTAGAAAAATATTAACTACAAATTTTAAAAAGAGGCAAAATCAAGAGAAGCAAAAAAAGTAGTTGAAATTTCCTAGGTCGTAATAATTTTTTTGCATTATTTTGAATTAATTTAACTGTATTATCTTTTCATTTCTAAATATGTTTGGTGACTAAAATATTATTTTATTAAATATGTTTAATAAATCTGTTTTGCTTAAATGTACCAAAACACAAAGCCTATATTCACTAAGAAATGGATAAAAATATTAATTTTCAAAATGGGGTGTACTTGATTATGCTGAACACTATGTCACAATATAATATAATATAATATAATATAATATAATATAATATAATATAATATAATATAATATAATATAATATAATATAATATAATATAATATAATATAAGAAATCTATAAAATGTGACTGTAAGGACATGTATAATGCTACAAAACATTTCTTTTTTTAATGCTGTTGTTTAAAAAAGGTAGCTGATGCATTATAATGTAAACTTACAGTAAGACAAAAATCAATGCTTCCTTAAAGTTAATTTAATTTATTTGATTTATAAACTAAAAGTTTCACTAAATCTTTAAATAACAGAGCTAATCTATTAAACACTGACTGACATGAAACACGATTGCACAGTTTCCTAAGGGGAAGAACAGTCAAAATGACGAGATTCTAAAGAGAATGCTGTCAGCCTGGCTGAGAACATAGATCCACAGCCACATCAATAGCCCAACTGATCCGGGACTATCGGCACTTCATTAAACTTGTTATAATGCGATTTAACCTCACTTTCTCGTTGCTGAAGGTCAGAGGCATTAGTTTCATCCCTTGCTGGATTAAAACAGACTACATTTGCACAACAAATTCTGTGTAATATAGACAGAAGATAAATGACAGTTGGAAAACTAGCGATTTTGTTTAAGATCAATTTTTAAAATGAGCTGGTTTATGATGCAATAAAAGAGACGACATCATAGCTTAAGCATGCTAATTCATTTAAATGTATGCATACCCACATATTCACCTAGGGCAACACACGTGACAAATGAAATCTCTACGGCCCTTAAATTAGACTGAAAATATGCACTATTGGTTTGTTTAAACCGATTTGGGAAAGAAATTGGCAAGAATATCAAATTAATTCATTTCCTATTGGACTAAGAAGGTAAACAAGTTTTTTTTTTTAAATACTTAAAATGAACTACTTCTTCCTTAAAGTCCTACAATATTAAAAATTACACACATGAGAGAAGCTCTGGGTTTTTCAGCAGGGTTTATGATAAGGTATGAGCGCTCTGCCATAAGAAAAACAAAGTATAAACAGGAATTAAAGAGTGAAAATCCCTTTTAAGACCTTTTTTAAGACTCTTTTTATACATTGTAAGACTGTTTAATAACTTCTCAACCGGAAACACTGGCGAGGTTTTAAATTATTGTATATTTACTAAATATTAATGTAAGAAACTAATCCAAAACTAAGACATGATTCATATACTGAATATAAATCTATTAAATCAAGCCAATTCAGCAGGTTGGCCCTCGTAGAACTGCAGAAATAGTTGTGTTGCCTTGGTTATTGCAGTAAACAAAGCAGCATGATGTCAAATCTAGTAGGAATTCATTGGCTGTTTTTCAATACCAATGCAAAGGTCAGACTTGCGTCCTTGGAATTTTAGACTTGCCAAGTTCAGACTTGGAAGAACGAACTACCAAGGACGCGAGGACACAAATCGGGTACTTCTTCAAATGGAAAGGCAGTGTGCTTTATAACGTCACTAACCTCACCATGGATTCATTGGTTCAATAAAATTATTTAATTATATAAAAGCATGGCCTTATAATTAATATTATATTGATATAATAAATCTATATTTTTGATTTTAAAAAAACGGTAAACATAAATTACTATGTGAAGTAAAATGTGTTATTATACACAGACTCGTATCTTTGATTTTCGGATTTAATAAACTACAATAGACATTATACAAGTATAAAGTACAAGACGTAAACAATAGGAAATAAACATAACGTTAAGCAATTTGGTAAACAAATACAAACATTGTACAACACGTCACATAATTAAAGACAATTATCAAACTGCCAAAATAATACACCTGAAAACAAATAATAGATTTAAAAGACCAAAAAACTGTCCGTTGTCTACACACAGAATGTATTACATATCATGTTTTAACTACACTAGACAGATGCAATCCAGCAGTACATGCGTGATGGACTGGCTGAAATATAACCACATATACATATATCTATGATCGGGAGTTTTCCCGGTGGTCAGTATGCAAATATTTATTTAAATTACGAAAATTATAGTTTTACATCACTTTTCCACATCCATGGATAAGTGACTGCATGGATATTGCTGACAAAGAGTGTGTTTGTGTGCATGGAAATGTATTATCCACTCTCCCTGTTAAATTTGATCTAATCTGTGTCCTGAAACACACCCCTCTCCCGCACTCTGGCACCGCAGCATCTTGTTGTCACATTTCATTGTTTGCTGGTTTTTTTCAACATATATAGCATAAGCCTAGTATTTAGTGTGAGTTGTTGCTACTTTTCTTAAGGTGAGTGAGTGCAGTAAGAGACTGTATTATCATCAATACTTGTTGAGCACACAAGTTCATAACATCTAAAAATGTAAAAAACTAAATCTTACCTATAAAATGTGATGCATCTGTGCTTTGTTTTCTTTGTTTGCTCGTGACACCCCTACACAGCGCTGAAGTCCAGCATCTTCACATTGGCTTTAGTTTTGACTAGTGCGGCTGAATGAATTAGTCCTGTACCAATATGGCGGCGCTATTAACGCATGCTCAGGGTCCGAACACAATATGTAGTGTGTGTGTATATATATATATATATATATATATATATATATATATATATATATATATATATATATATATATATATATATATATATATATATGACTTTTCGCGTCACATCTCGATGCATCCTTGGCAAGAGGGGCAGAGCAAGTACACATTCGGGAATTTTATCTGTACTTGGCAAGATGAACTTTGAATTGGAAAAGTACTTTAACGACGTTTCATGAGGACACAAGAACGCAAGTACAGACAAGAACGCATATTAAGAAACAGCCATTGATTTCATTAACTACACAGCATCCTGATATTCACAGATTTAATTCAGGCAAACTTTAGCATACATTGCGTAATCAAAAATGATATAAAATTTAGAACCTTGCAAAATAGTATTTAAGACTTAACTTTTTACGGCCCTTAAATTTTTCTACGCTGATAAATCAACATTTAACAGTTTTAAGACCCCGCAGACACTGTAAAAAGTCTTCTCCTGTTCAGTCAAAATGAACTACTTCTGTTTTAGAGCAGACATGAATATAATTTTGAAGATTTCAAAAGGCAAAATATTTGCCAATCCTCTTCTCTTTGCTATGATGAAAGTCCAAATGGATATTCAAAAAAACTGCGCTACAGAAAAAATGAATTCACTGAGGTAAAAAGACATCGTTAATAATAGTTCTGTAGAAACAAAATATCAAGATTTTACCACTTATGGAAATGCCACACTTGAAGTTTGCAATAATCAATCCATCTTTCTTCCCCCCAAAGTTCCAGCATTACTCCCCTCAGAAAAACAGCATCCAAAGCTCTCGGTGACTTTCTATTCCCCTTGACATTTTCCATTTTCGACTCCACATTGCTCAGTAATATGACCAACATAAATCCATTCTCAGATAGAAAGGAACACACACAGAAAAAGACGCCACAACAGTGAGCAATATAAAAGCTCAGAGGTTCCAGTCCCTGGGAAAGATGTTCTGAAAGAATGCAAGAAAAT